GGCTGAATTGCACAAAACGCATGATCGCACCGGCTAGTCTGGTGCGCGTTGCCATTTATTACATTTTACTTTGTTAATTTAGCGGAAAATGCCAGCTGGATTAAATTTATCTTTTCTCGTGCGTATTTTTCGGTTTGACCTATTAGCACTTATGTCCCAGACGGTCAATAATTCGCAGAAGGATTGACTGTAAGAAAGCAATATCTTGAAGTACAGGATTTTGGGAGCAAAGAAACCGAAGATGCACTAGGGGTGACAGTGCAACATGCATTATTGCATGCACGCAAATGCAAAAGCACATATTGTGATGAACCATGGTTTTCTATGTATTTCGATGGCGAAAGAGAAAAATTCAATGCTGGAAATTTTCTTAACGATTTACTCAAGTGCGAATATTTCAGGGTGGATTTCAACTTTCACAAAGGCGGCGATAGGAATGCAGATTTGCCGCTGCACCTGAGTATACGTTTTGATGAAGGTAGGATGAAGCCTTGCATCTAGCTTGCTCTAATTTTGTGCGCTGTGTTTACTTTTTAGGAATTTTCTCAGGGAAAATGGTCTACAACACGTACATTGGTGGTAACTGGAGTGATAGCGAGCAGCGCATCAAGAATCCGTTCAAGGCGAATGCCGAGTTTGATCTCCGAGTTCGCATCATCAACAACAAATATCAAGTACGATTTTACTTTTTTACCAGTCCCTTTCTACTTTCCAAAAGTGCTAACTGGGTCTGAAAAAGCTAAGAAAAGGACTGCAACGTACAAGTTTTGATGGTACAGTCATTCGTTTTTGCGCTAAACTTGAAGCAGTTAGGTCATTAATTGTACCATTACTTGCTCATACAGTTTAAGTACTTGATTAGTTCAAGTTTAGCGCAAAAATTTATGCATACATAACAATAAATTACCGTAAATTTTGTATGAGGAAATCAACTGAAGTTGAATTATGGAATGTCTAACAGGTAGTAAATGTTTAATGAAAGGCTTTTGGTTGTTTATGAAGGATCATGAAAAGCTTGTCTGGAATGATATGAAATGGTTGCTGCTTTACAAGCACTAAATTCCTCAGCTTAAAATATGACATTAAAAAATAGCGATCTTCTTTCATTAATAGCACAAAGGCTCGATTTCAATCTAGTCCCACCGAAAGTTTCTACTCTGTAATAACTTACTATCTTTAAATAGACTAAAATTTATTCTATCAAGTTGGATATGCCTAGCACAGCCGCATCCGGTGTGTAGGAACAGTAACATCACTGATGTGACAGTAGATTACGATAATTTGTAAGAACTATTCTAAGTAGTCGAAATATGGTAACTAATCTAATGATTTATAGTAATAAACAGTTCCCGAACAGCTGGGCATTTTTTTGTCAAATTGACCGTAAGTGGTCGGCTATGATTAGTTCCTGTAATCCTTGGGAACAGCAATGGTTTAAATACACGTGAACTAATTATAAGTATGCAGGTATTTGCGAATCGCGCCGAAGTCGGCACCTTTGATCAGCGGATGCCTCTCGACGGGGTAAGTTATTATTTTGTTAGCTGCATTTTTCCCGTCACCTTTTTGTCTATAGCTTATATTAGTTTTTTCTACAGCTTATAATAGTCTTCTGCACGAGTTCAACAAGGGCTCGGCGCTAGCTCCTAAGATGGAATACGAAATAATCCATGCTGAAATGGCTAAGCGCAGGACCAAGCCTCCTTAAATGCTCGTTTCGAAAAACGAAAAAGTCTCTGATACAGGCCGAAAAAAAAAAATGGAGAGCGGAAAAATCAGTGAGTCCTTGAGTTAGGCCTCTGAAGGACGGCACAAGGTACTACCGCTGCTCGCAGCTTACTTAGATAACTCACCTATCGCATATTTGTATGTGTTTTTGTGCCAGAGGAATACTGCTTT